GACTTAGATATAATATGGAAGCGCTCTGGTTAACGTCTGCTTAGTTCGAGAGACTCTGTAATTATGTAAGTATATTATTTACAATAATTTATTATGTACTCCAAAAATTACTGATACCCGGTTGCCTACAAGAAAAAACGCAGGGTTGTGCTTGGAAAGACCATCGATCCCGTGGTTCGGAATCCAAACTGTGGGTCCCCTGGGCTAGTAGAGTCGTACGAACTATGTTGCGGATATGTCTCCGATTTGCTTTATATTTTAAGGGTCTATAATGGAACCCAAAAAATTATAAAATCTAATAGTTCAGCATTTTTTATGCATTATTCCAGACTTTGCAGTATATGCTAAAGAAACATCGGGTTTTCGGAAACCGCGCGCTATCTGGTGGCGCTCGATAGCATTGTGGGAATTCAAGAAATTCTCAACAATACATTTAAAGCATAAAAACGGCACATCATTTTTAAACAAATTAATAGTTTTTTCACAAAAGAGAATAACGCAGAAGTCTAAATTGACAAATTTGTTTCGCAAAGTTTTAATTGCACAGCTAAATCGCGCATGTTATTTGTGTTTTACGTTGCAACTAAAAACTAAAAAACTGATTTAGTACTCGATTTTGATTTATTATTTCTAATATCATTGATTATATGCTTATGTAGTTACGTTTATTTTATCTAAGTGATCATGATGAATTATTGTGTTTTTAATTGTAAATATAATTCATAATTCGTTGAATTTTTATGTTTTTTATATTTAATCATTATTAAAATATGTATTGATTGTATCTAATAGGTATAATTTATATTTATTCAGACTGTATGCAGTTTATTTCTTCATTTGTATTTCCACTATTTTTTTTTTGGAAGCGATAAAAACTTAACCCAGGATTTCCTCTTAAAAAAACAACAACAGAACAAATTGTTCCACGTTTTTTCCCTTGATATTTTTAACATTTCCGGCCTTATTATATCGTTTGTAACATACGCGTTTGACAGCTGATTATTAAAAGTTGTTGTTGTTTTGTTACGATGATAACGGTCACGTGGTGGTCTACTAGCGATGCTTCTTTAGCATATAAACAAAGTAAAGTAGTATTTATTGAAAAAATTCACACGTAACTTTTATAAGCTGCTTTTAAAAAAAAAATCAAGAAAATAAAAAAGTAAATAATTTGATATTTTGAAAAAACTAGTAATAATTTTTTTCGCGAACTGAAAAACTGCAGAAGTTGTGAATTTTTTCTTCAAAGAAGCGCGTTAGAAGTTGTTGTTAGGTGGGTAGGGTCGCCTTATGCGTCTTGGGGTACAGATATTTATAGGGCATTCCATGCCAAATCTGCCATAAAAAACAGACGAGTAGGCTCAATGGCTCTTTTCATCCCCGGTTACTTCTCTGGAGTATGCCTATTACCCGTTTTTTGCACTATCCTAGCTACTTCGGCACGACTCTACTAGCCCAGGCCTACAGTTTGGAAACCGACTTACTCCTTCAGGTTATTAAGAGCACAACCCTGCGTTTTTTCTTGTAGGCAGCCGGGTATCAGTAATTTTTGACTAATTAATATTTAGAGAGTACATAATAAATTATTGTATATAATATACTTACATAATTACAGAGTTTCTCGAACTTTCTTACTAAGCAGACTTTAACCAGAGCGCTTCCATATAACTAAAAAAAAAAAATAACAAAAGACATACAGTTTAATCTAAAGTGCAGTGTCACCTATATTGCGAAATCATTACGAATACGGATAAGTGAACAACTAACTAATCAGATAAGTATATTTAATTAATCGCATAACCTAAAACAACCTGTTAGGGTGTTTAGGATTGCAAGTTACTTTTATACCGTTTGTTTTTATGTGCGTGGTAAGAACCTCGGTGAATCTTACAATTTCTGTTGTTATTTGGGATGAGTAGTAGGTCATCCGCGAACGCGAGCACGTTGGGCAGTCCGAAGTCGGTCATGTCGGACTAGCGCTGTCTTTCGACTTTTTTGATAAAGAGGTCTGGTCTTAAGATGTTAAGGGGGCTTGTATTATGTGCTTCCATTGTCTACGTTTGGCTTGCACTAAATATTTTAGTTTTGTTACCCTGACGCATTTGGTGGTGGTTTTGCTTTAGAGATTTAAAGTGAAGAAGTATTTAGGTACAAGGTGCATTTCTTAAATCCAATTAAACACTTTATAACCAATAGAATGCCAAATTATGAATTGTAGATTTTTTATTCAATAATATTTATGTCTGTTAATTGAATAGACTAAAGTTGTCCAATGTTTTTTTTTCTACGAGATTTATACGTGGGGGTAGCCTGAGTTGTAGATGCCAAATGTTTATTTATCCGAGATTTAAACGTGGTTAAGCTGGAATACTTTGGTTTAAATTCTTGACGTTTTCGTTTCGCCTTTTTTTATTTTAACTTTAAATTTTTGTAGCAAATTACATTTAGGTTATGCGATTTCGCAATATAGGTGATACTGCACATTAGATTAAACTGTATGTCTTTTGATATTTTTTTAGTGATATGGAAGCGCTCTGGTTAACGTCTGCTTAGTAAGAGAGTTCGAGAGACTTTGTAATTATGTAAGTATATACAATCATTTATTATGTACTCTCTAAAAATGATTTAGTCAAAAATGACTAATAGTCATAGCGAAAAAGCAGCCACTAATAACTCTCGTCAATAGCAGTTTGCATCCCCAACATTTAGAAGTCAATTAAATCCGAAAATGTCGTAAAAAGTTATAAAAGTAGATCATTTCTTAAAATGTAGTTAATTTCCATATAATATAGAATTTACTTTATCTTAAAAAATTAATTATTCCCCAAAACTACGCGCGTAGCTAAGGTTTAAATGCCTAGGCCATATACCGATTAAAGATAAACATTATTATTAATATTGTTGCATAAAATATTAAAGTTTATTGAGAATGTACGGCGAGTAGAATTATACGCCTTAAACTTAAAGATTTGATTGGTGTTTTGTACAAAAGAGAATAACCTTAACATGCCATTTCGATGGCCCAAATATGGCAACCTAAATTAGCAACTCCTAAAGTGGTATCCGAGGAAAATAAGGGTTCCATGGAAATGAGCAGGATTCCCCGAATTCATATGTGCCTTCAAATAAACCAAGCATGGTTTTTATTTTTAATTGGTGTTCCGTGGGCTTCAAAGTTTAGGAACCGCTGATCTACATTATCATGATTTTATAAAAGAAGGAAGAGAAACTTGTAATTTTCCATTAAATCAGTTTTAATACTGCAATCCTGTTTTTAATCACAATAGTGGTATAAAGTTATATATAGTTACAAAAGGTGTTGTTACACCATAATAAAGTTTGAAAAAAATATTAATTTCACCTGACAATGTAAAAACCTCAACATAATAAAAATTTGTAGTCAGCCACATTTGGAACTAACCCACCATTTTGGAAAAACACTATTCAACTAACCAGTATTTTGAGCACAAAACAAATATAATAATTAATATTTAAATTTCCATTTGTATATTACGTATATTAAGTTTACTTACCAAATTAAAAAAGATTTTTAAAAATAAGGAAAATACTCATTTTTTAATAAAATTAAATAACGTTTTTCACAATTTCACAATAAAAAAGCAATTTTTTAATTTGCATTTGAATTATTAAAAAAAAAAATACGTCAATCTCGAAATAGTGGAAGCAAGGTAAGGTTAATCCAACTTCTCGCATGATTTTAATTTTAATAGTAGTTGTAAATTTGACATTAGTTAACATGTATAATATATTGTATATATTTTTGTTCTGCATAAATATTATAAGATTTAATTGTTTTAAATTTTCAACGATAAGTTTATCACCAAAGTTTTAAACATGGTTTATAAACCCACGAACAAACACGACCCCAAAAGCTGTAACCAGGATTTAAACATCTCAGCTTAGCTTATCGTGTCTTGGGACTCTCCCGCTCTAATATTATATAATTTTTTCTTTAAAAAACGGGTCATAAGTCTTTACAATATTTACAATTAACATTTTTATTACATTAAATAAAACCTTTAATGGCACCACTTTTTTAGGCTGTATTTTTTTATAAGCTCATTTACAACTTATATAATATCCATTTAATACTGTTTTCAACTCATATAATACTATTTAATAGGCTTTCAAGCTTTAGGGTTTTATAAAATTATATTAATCACTGTACTAAATCATGGTTTTATAACCTTATCAGAAAATAATAGACTATCTGGTATACGCATTTATTTCCGCTGCACCATAGCCCGTTAACGGGAACCGGAACTGCATATTTAGAATCTACGCATACGAGTTTATTATTAAAACTTTTGATACCGTAATATCACAGATGTATCAAGACTTACGAATTAATCTAACATCTGTTCCTACACAGTAAAAAAATATTTTAGTGTTCTCCCAGGTGAAAGTTGTAGAGTAAAAAAGTTAGTGTAGAACATCACACTATTTTTAATCCTAAAATATATTTTATCTATTTTTCGTTCATAATGACTTCATTATAACACCGCTTTCGGTGCTGTAATGAGATACATTATCCCACGCAAAATTTTAATTTTATATATATATAAATATATATATATATATATATATATATATATATATATATATATATATATATAGGCTGACTATACTTTAAACAGCATAATATTTTGCACATTGGTTATAATATTTTTATGATTTTTCTAGTACTTAAGAGACTTTTCTAGCAATAAATTTTGTATAATACCAAAGAAAATCCCTTTTTTTCTTCTTTAACATTAACAGCCGCTTATTGTAAATAAGTAAATTAAGGACGGCATGGATTTTGACATTAACTGTCAAACCAATGACAGTGATACCAACTATCTAACGCTTTAAAAAAAGCAAGAAAAAGTAAAGGACGGATAAAAAAAACAACAAAAACGTTTGCTGGGGAAAATGACAGCACTGAAGTGCAAAAAGACTGGATTTGACTGAAAAAGGAGAAAAACATAAGCAATCAAATGCGTATTAAATTACCATCTGTAGCTGCCATTTGTGACCATACCGGAATATCAGATAGAGCTGCTGCAGCTATAGCTAGTGCCGCTTTACAGGACTTGGGTATAATCACAGGGGAAGACAAAACCAATGTAATAGACAGGATGAAAATTAGACGAGCAGTCTTTACGATCAGAAAACCAAAAAGGATTGTTTTTTTGATGGAAGAAAAGACAAAACAAGTGTTCAAGAAAAAAACGAACTACGTTCTACAAAAAAGTTATTTCAGAAGAGCACGTTTTACTAATAAAAGAACCCAACTCAAAGTTTTTAGGCCATCTAACACCTAAATCTGGTACTGGAGAAGTTTCTTGGTGATAGAGAACATAACGAACAACTTTTGAACTTTACGTAAATACCGGATTAATAATGGTGTGATTTCTTTGATGGAAAAATACATAGAAAGACCTTTACAATGGCTAGTTTAGGTCAGCAGCTGTAAATCAACTCTAATCTGCCTGTGGTTAGTTTCTTGCCTATTGAAAATAATCTTCCTCTCTTGGAGAACATCAATGATTTAAGTACAGATTAAATGTATTTATTGGATATATGTATTGCTGTATCAAGTGGACATTGCTCATTTGATTTATCTTTAAAAAACCCTGAAAAACTTGCTCACTCCAGAGGCAAACCGAATACTTAGGTTGTATGTGGCAACTGTAAATCCAACTGAAAAGCTTAAGACACTGGTTAAGTACATTGTGTGGTTCAACATTAGGCTAAAACCTTCTTGTATTAACGGTTCCAAACATCTGTTAAAGCTAATCTCATATTCACGTACCTATCTGTTGACATCAAGAACATTATAGATCGGGTTATACAAAGAAATGGCTACTTTGCTGCTCAAGAAAATCTCCTTTTTTCATTGCTATGTAATGAGCGCAAAAATATAAGGGAACCTGGTTTACGACGTGTTTTAAAAGCAAGAACGGAAGGCAGAGTCAGGACGTTTAAAGTTCCACAGATAAACTTTGATGCAGAGGATTACATCGATATGATCTCATGGACTGAAAATGTCATAACTGAACCCCCTTGGTAAAACATGTTTCCAGTGACTCTTTCAAAAACTTTATACTGAAGGCATCTGAAGCTCCATCAAATAGTAAATTGGACAAGCTTGTCGACTTTCCACAGCTTCCTTGTTACAAGCAAGCCGTGGAAAGATCTGTGAAACTGGTGACCGAATCGGCTCAAAATATCTGTGGTTCTATTCCAATAGAAGGATATATAAGAGCAAAACGTGACTCACAAGAAAAAAAAGTTTATTGTGTCAAAGAACTAGAATCTTATGTGTGTTATAATCAAAAAATATAGTAGATTTGATGACCTTTTATTTCATCCTTATTTACTACTATTTGTAACAAATTAGCAAAAATATAAACTTTTTGACCTTTAAGCATATTTATACTAATTATATGTACTATAAACCTAAAAAAATAATTAATCAAAGTACCTATATATTTTTTCAATAAAAAAAATATAAACTTTATGCTCTTTGCGGCACCTCAAGATGTTTAAGGACAGCAACCATTTGTTTTTCCTTCTTTTAATAATAGGCAACTTTTCCCATCTATTACAAAACTTAAAAAAAAATAATATAAAATAAAGGCAATTTTCGTTCCACCCTAATTTCCATGTTGCCAAGAACAAAAACTTTAAAAATTTAGCTAGTGCGATACCAGCAGATGGCATTTTATGATGACAACTTTAGACTGAATTGCAAAGTGGACCTTCAGTTAAAGTTTTATTTTGAGATTATCAATGCAAAAATTTGGTATATAATTATATAGAAGAATTTCCCGATTCGATAGAAATTTTAGTCACAAAATGGGTAAGAATTGGTTACAATTTAAACCAATCTAACAGTGTCAATTGGTACTTTGAAACAATAGGTTTTCTACTTTACGCTAGTAGTAGGCAACCAATATTGCAAAGACTGAAATGCCTTCCATCTCGCCACCGAGTGTATGAAGACGCACGAACTGTGTTAAATGTCTAATACTAAAAGAGTACGATTTACACTATTAGTGTAGTAACGCACAAATTGTGTTAAAATTGTTAGACTACAAGAGTACAACTCCTAGAGTTAAAACAACACTAAAATTCACACTAAATTTAAGGTGAAAATTTTAACTATATTAAAGTGGACCTGCTCAAGCTATAACTAGTCTTCTCTTCTAAAGCCTAGTGTGAAGCTTTTTTTACTGTGTAAAAAGACTTCATATTAATCAAAAGTCAAATTATTATTGAACTTCCTACCGAAATAAAGCTAAAATGTAATCGTCAGTTAAATCCAACCTAAAACTAATGTGACAGAATTTAAAAAAATTAAAAAATAAAATGCTTAAAAAAATAGTATATAAAACACGGCAGCGAATGCCTCGCACACAATCTACTGCCTCAGCTGACGCCTCGGCAGTGAAATGTATGCTCAGCGATAATTTGTGCTTTCTCCGCTTGGTCTATAATGTACTAATATTATATTATATATTATACCATTTTTATCGACATTAAATTAGTTTATGTATGTATGTAACTTTGGGGGCGCACTGCAGACACCAATCTTACACAATATTGGTGTACAATTTTTAAATCTATTAGTGTTAGGATAAACATTAGATAGATTAAATTTCCAGCACCATTAGGAGTAGCATTTACACTAAAAGTGAAATATATGCAAATAAATTAGTGTCAAAGTAAACACTTTTAGAGAGCTACCGAACACGGTTAGTGTAGTAATTTTCAATCAAATAGTGTATGCAGTCGCACAAACTGTGTTAAATGTGTTACACTACAAGAGAACAACCTCTAAAGTTAAAACAACACTAAAATGCACACTAAATTTATGGTGAAAATTCGAACTCTAATAAAGTGAACCTGCTCAAGCTATAACTAGTGTTCTATAGTGCGAGAGTAGTAAATTAGAATAAGTTATTGAATAGATTAAGTAAATTAAATAAATAATTGTGCGTGAACACCAGCCCTATATCCTCCCATATTGTGACTGAAAACCTCACAGGTCAATCAAGATTAGAAGAACGGAATAAATCAGGGTAAGACACATTTCAACACCAATATAAAAATTAAATCATACAGTCCACATTCACTATTTTTGGTCCTTTTTCGCCAAATTGCGTTTCAATTGTTCATTGATATATCTATATATATATATTATATATTTTATTTTTTATATTTATTTATTTATTTTACACTATGTTATAGCTAGCAAAACAGTTCTTGAGAATTGGTACCGCTAAGTATATTAATTTGAATAAATTCTTCCATTCTTCTATCCCAATATTTTTTCCTTTTTTATAAGCATTTATTACCTTTCCATTCCAAAAAACTTTACTAATAGTCTATTATTTTATTTAAGTTCGCATATTTCACTGCTGGTTTCTGCTAGTTTTTGCAACCTTGTTTAAATGTTTATTCAACAATAAAGTTAAATCGCTGTTTTGTTTTTTACATGCATATTTATTAAAATAATAAATTTTATTTAAACAACCGGGTAAAGTTTAATTATTATTTTTTATATAATATTTAAAATTTTAAGAATACTTCGGTGTTGTTCCAAAGGTCGACGAATTCGTAGTTGAATTAACATTTTAGCTTTTAAAAGGCTTTAGGTTCAATACTGTTGTGCATTTTTAAACGGCAGTTGACAAAATGGATAACTATTAATATTTACTTAACAAGCGGCTACAATGCGTAGAACGAATAATATTTATTTATGTATTAAGGGAATAATAAGGTTTTTATGGTCCAAGGCGCCAGGGCCGGCGGAAGACCATGGTAGTATAGGTACCACTACCCACTGGAAAAATTCCTGAGTAGGTATATACCCACTCGGAAAATAAATGTTACATGAACATTGTTCCGGAATTTATACGATTTCTTCAATTAATAATTACAATTCCAGGATCTTCGTGTTCCAACGAAAGAAGTTTTTCAGTTTTGCGTCGTTTAAAAAAATATTTAAGATCAACAATGGCACAAAATCGACTAAATCACGTAGCAATTCTTACTCTGATTTAGCGGATAAACTCAATTTGGATACTCTAATAAATAAAGACGGGATATTTGGGTACTAAAAACTGAAAAATAGGTAACTAAAAAGGTAATAAAAAAAGCATTTTAGGTTAAAAAAACTGCATTTTAGGTAAAAAAAAACATTAAAAGTTTAAGTTTCGTTTATAAAATAAGTAAAATAAAATATTTTTTTTTTAAACTGACCAATAGTTAATTAAAGCTATAAGGAACTGAAAATATAACAGGGAATACCTGATATTTACCAAATTTACTACTAGAGTAACAAACGATAAAGTAACATAAAATAAAACTTTTTATATAACAAAAAGCAAGAAGGAACTAAAAAATATGGAATACCTAATATTTACTCACTATATAACTTTACTACTTCAGTAACAAATAAGAATCTTTTCTATATTTTGAGAAGAAATTTTCCCCTGAATTTTCTGCTATTTGGCCGAATTTTTCAGATTTTCTTGCGTTCTGCACAGGTTTAATGACTTTTCCTGTTGATATATATGTGATTTTTGCTCAACAGATAGCTAAAATGTATACATATATATATATAAATTAAAGAAAGATGTTTTAACATAACCTCAAACTCCTTACAATTTTACAGCAAACTCTCCAAAATAAGTTTTTTTCGTCAATAGAAAATATCTTATTATTCTCCTATATCCAACTGCTGAGTTTATTTTGAGGATTTTCTTTGGTTTTGGGCATTTTTTATAATTTTGTTTAGCCGCATACCCAAACACAGAACATACCCACAATAAACTATTTCTATGCAATAAACTGTGTTTCACTGAGTGACACTCACTACACAGAAGTTCTATGACAGAACATAAGCTCACTACAAAGAAGGTAACTGCAAAGAAAGTTACTGTTACAGTCTGTGACCATAAGAAAAAATTCTATACCGTTTAGTTGCACGCTGTAAAAATAGGTAACAAATAGGTAAAAAAAATGTTTACTAAAAATAAACTGACAAATTAAAAAATATGTAACAAAAGTATAAAAAGGTAGTTTAAAGCAAAAACCTCAAAAAAGGTAAAAAAGGTGAAAACAAGTTAAAAAAATAGGTAACATAATTATAAAAAAGGTAGTTTAAAGCAAAAACCTCCAAAAAAGGTAAAAAAGGTGAAAACAAGTTAGGTTCATATAAAAGAAAATGTTTTAAAACACATTTTGGCATTATTGGTTTTCAAATAGTTACATCGGTTGAAAAAAGGTAAAATAACTAAAATCCCATCCCTACTAATAAATGAGTTTATTGTTCGAAATAAAAAAATAACGGCTGTTTTTGCTATTTTAGATAACAAATAAATTTTAATCTACAAAAATGCTTTGTTATTTATGACTTTCTATTGTTACCTTGTAAACCTCCTTATTTTTCAATATATTTTTATAATATTGATTTTTCAAAATGTTAATTGCTTGAAATTAAAGCTGAGTGGGGGACCCCCTTTCTCCGCCTAACTACCCACTCGGGCTAAATGTGTTTTGCCGGCCCTGCAAGGCGCTATTTCGGCTAGTAAAGCGTCTTAGGACCATAAAAACCAGTTATGCCAGCAATGCATACAAAACTTTATGCACGATTAATATATTATTATTTTTAATATATTATTGTTTTTAAAGACGTTTACGTCTACGTTTTTATTATAATTGTCATATTATAATGCCAACTGACATCAGTCAGTTTTAAAGTTTAAAGATGAATGAAATTGAGGAAGCAGCTGAAAAGGCGAAAAATTGCGGCCTGCTGCCGGAAAAATCAAAATCTTTATACGAAAAAACTTATTCGAATATATCAAATAATGTAACATTGTTGTTTTTAACTTTTGACGTTTCATTATAGCCCGCTAGGTCATAATAACGCCCGCGGGCTATAAAAAGACGTTTACGTCAAAGAATTTTTGTTATAATTGTCATATTATAATGTCATCGTGCATAAAGCGTATTTATGCATTTAGTAAAGCGGCACTAGCGTATGTTACCAAGCAAGCAGAATTTAAAGTTCGTTTTAAATCTTTATAGCGGCATTTTAATTCATGCGAGGAACTTAGGTCTAAAATTTTGAGGTTGTTGGCTAATAATGAAGTTGCGAAATCGGCAATCAAGGAATCGGCTTCTCCTAGATAAAGAAGACTTAGTGGTTGCTACGCAGGTTAATTATGCTAAAATTTTCGGCGAGGAAAATAATACTATGAAAATTGCCAAACCGGTTAAGTTGCCTGCCCTTAATTTGCCTATTTTTAATGGGGAGTTTAAATTATGGTTTA